ATATTTATATATAGACATACATACATAGTATACGTATATACATACATGTGTACAAACATATGTACATACATATATACATACATATGTGCATACATACATACATACATGTATATTCACAGACACATACATACATGCAGTGTCGCTGCTAGACAGGAAAAGGAAGGTGCTTATAGGGGTGACTCTGCCTATTAATGTGGTACCGGCTGAGTCTCCAGCGCAGTTGGTGGAGGACAACACCGATGCTGAGCGCTCGTTCAGGCCAAATTGGCAAATGGACAAGGACGCCCCGAGATGCAATGACTGTCAGGTAAGTTTATAGATGCATTACGCATAGTTGTGGAAGTATACATAATGTACACACATATATTATACATGTAGTGGAATGTATGTACACGGCTAGCGACCGTTGAGACCACACTGACAGAAGGGGCAAGGATGTCCCGAGATGCAACGCCTGTCAAATATGGGGCCTTCAGATACATACACACAATCATGTGACGTTCAGTTATTGTATGCATATATGCCACACATATATCGGAGGCTATGTTCATACGAAACCATGGCACTGATCATGACACTGATCACAGTGGCAGAAGGACAGGGATGCCTCAAGGTACAATGGCTGTCAGTGAGATTCGATGGTGTAGTTTGTGAGAGTTAGGTCTATACCTTCTACGCGGGTTCGTAGTTGCCGTTTGGGTGACGCTGGTATGTGTAGTTTGTGAGAGTTAGGTCTATACCTTCTACGCGGGTTCGTAGTTGCCGTTTGGGTGACGCTGGTATAGTTTGTTTAATGTAGGGTCACTCGAGGTGCAATGAATGTCAGATGAGATCAGATGGTGTAGTTTGTTATATACAGGGTTATACCTATTCCCGGCTCTTGGTGACGCAGGTATAGTTTGTTTGATATATGGTCACTTGAGGTGCAATGATCGCCAGGTTAGTTCGATGGCGTGTGTTATCTGGTGTATAGTCAAGAGTGGTTTCATGTCCGCGAAGATTCAATGGCCTATGTAGGGTGTTCGTTGTATATTCATAGTATTTTAACGTGCTGATGGTGGACTCGATCATTTCAGATACGCACACTTTGACACACCGTTCACTCAACACTAACATCACTTTGAGTCCTTTTTATGACCCACTTAAAGTCCTGTCCTCGTATCGGCTACACCAATAACTTCCAAACATACAATTTCTGTGCAGAAACGCTTCCACCTGATTTTTTGTGCACTGCCACGACGCCACCACTGTCGCCATTGTGGATTAGTTTTCTGCGGTAGTTGCTGCAAAAAGTTCATGGTAGTCCCAAATCTGGGCTACTACCACCCTGTAAGGGTATGTTTGTACAAATTGCAGGCTCCGGTGTGTATACATGTATGTCATGTGATGGCGTGAGTTTGAGAGATTGTAAGCCCACACGTATATATATATATATATATATATACATATATATATATATGTACACACACACACACACACACACACACACACACACATATATATATTAATTATACAATTTTTCTTACACCGCTAGTATCCTGTAAATCATAGTAACGGCCCAGATCTTTCATCGTATGTCCAGCATCGGATTCCTATCTAGCTTATCGCTGTAAATCTTTTAATAACTCTTAACGTTATGGCTCATATTCGAATACTTATGATTCTCCAGGTCTGTAATATCTGTGTTAATGAAGTCGAGCTTGGGGGACGCAAGTATGTCGGCACGCTGCGGTACAGGAATACTTCGGGCAATCAGCTTACGAAGCGGATACGAACCTTAAGCGAACATAGTGGCTATTCGTGACAGGCCAAATAGCTTAATAAAATGAAATACATAGCAATTGCCATAATTTGATGTTATAAAGATATAGCTACATATATATAAGTACGTAGAAATCTATCTGTTCCTCGGAAGAATATCCTGATAGACCACCAAAGAGGTTAAAACCGAGTATGAATGCAAAGGGCGATATAAGTTGGAAACACATTATAGAGCAGCCAACTAAGTGTTGAGAGGGTCGCACCGGCTCAGTCAGACCTAGGTCATACTGACAGACTGATAAAGTATAACTAATAGCACCTTACCAGATCACCATATGGTCTCTGCAGATGTAGTTGTTATAAAAATGTGTAGTACTACTTTCCACCCCCGATTTTCTTATCGGAGGAACATGTGTGAAGACCGAGGCGATTAAACGGCCGTATTGCAGAGTTGCTGATAGAGTAGTATAAGGTAATGTATGCCCTTTTATCAGTGATCATATGTCAAGCATGGTGAGCAAACCTACGCATCTATATAGAACGAATGTGGCGGTCCATAACACTACAACGGCGTATAGTGTATATATTGCCTGGTTGTTGCTGGAAGACAATTATAGGGAGCACGGCGGCGAGTTGTATTGGTGGGTGTCTGCCAGCAGCCAAACCCAAGGCCAAAGGCCCAAGGACTGCCAATTTACTATTCCCACACAAGTGTATGAACACTTGATTCAGCCAGATCAAGCCTGAAGGACTAAAGTTTGGACTACGATCATTGTGCGATTGTGGCCGTGTCTGTATAACCATACATCGATGCATCAGCATATATTCCTCAGATCAGATAAGTCATTTTAAATATGAACGTTTGAATATACGTGTAAAGCCATGGCCGATGACTCATCAATTATTACTACATGTGAATCCCTTTTTATGTACCCATATTTACCCATAACCCAAACCTAGCAACACCGCCTCCCAACATATCAAGTACTTACAATACGGTGAGAACACACTAACGTCGCACAGTATCCACCTGTTTAACTACTGGGGAGAAGGCTGATAGCACAGTAGTATATATTTTCTCGGACTGTACTTTTCAGTATCTTCAAGATACACAGCAGGTCCTGGGGCAGCCCGTAGGTAGATCAGTACATTTACACAGTCACAACTATGAGGAAACTAAAGGTAGGTGAATTCCCTCGCTTGTATATCGTTTCTCCACGGCTGGATGTAATAGCGAACACATCTTATTAGATCCCGCGGTTGCCAACTCAATCTTCATTCTCTCTAGAACCACTAGCCCATACATACCAAAATTTCTTGACATTCCTTCTATACTACAGTTTGTAGTAATCAAGTTAAGTCTACAAATGTAGGTCCGTATAGGATATGTAATTTTCGACTTGTGTTCACGTACATATGTATATTTAAGCATGTGTATACTCATGGTAGATACTAGGTATGTGTTTGTGGATGTATTGATTTGTACATGTAGTATATATATCTATATATATATATATATATATGTATGTATCCACACACACACACGCACACACGTGTACACACACACACACACCACACACATACGTATACACACATAACACACACACACACACACACACAC